AGGCAATTCTTTCGCCACGGCGCCATGGCCGTTGGCGTTCCCGCTGCTGCTAGTGGCGGACGCGCCGGCGCCGGCGGCGCCGGCGACGTCTTCCTCTTCATCTTCCCCCTCCTGAAAGCCTTGGTCGTCGCCGTTCTCGTCGTCTTCTAGATCATCGGCTGCCTCTTCTTCGCCGGCGGCCACCCCTTCGCCGTTCTCCTCGCCCAGCTCCATGCCTTCCTCCTCCTCCTCCTCTCCGTGGCAGGCGCCGAACTCCGCCTCCTCATCGTCGTCGCAGGCCGCGGCCTGGTCGGGGCCTCCGCCTCCCGGAGCCATCAGCAGCTGCTCCTGGGCACCTCCGCTGCCCGGAGCGGCTTCTCCCAGCTCCTCGACGTTGCCATTGCCGGGCTCGGCGCTACCTAAGCCCCCTCCACCGGCCTCCTCTTGGTCAAGCGCGGCTTGGAGCCGTTCCATGAGATCGGCCTTGAGGCCCTTGTCGGAGAGGCGACGCTTCTTCAGCTCCTCCTTGAGCTCAGACACCTTCAACTTCTTCACGTTCACCGGCGAGCAGCTCATGGCGGCAGCGGCGACGGCAGGGACTCGATGCGGTCTGGGCGTAGGCGGCTGACTCGTATGGCTGCGGCAGCTGCAGAAAGAGATCCGCCTGGCGCCAAATCCTTTCACCGAGGCTCGCGAGGCAGGAACGGTGAGCGCGACTCACGGTCTCGAGCACGTAACGCTGCGCTCACCCCGCCCCCGCCGCGCGCCTCATATATCCTCGCCCCTCCTTGCCACACTACCTTAACTCTCCTCCCTCGCGCAGTACTACCGTAAACATTTGGCGCATCAAAAAAATCAATTCAAACCCGTTCCCTGAATCTTTCCAGATTACGGGCCAATGCAGTGGTAGACGCTCTCGTCGCTGGGCCGTGTACCTTCACTCAGAAAACATTACCAAATTAAGTTAGATGGCTTATGATTATTTCAAGTGAAATGTAGGCGTTGTAGTTTTTTTTTTTTTTTTGCACAAATAAGTTACACGTTTTACAGCAAAGTATCATTTGTGACTACATTAAGAAGCATCTAGATAGAAAATGGAAATGTGATAGGGCCAAGGACTGCATTGCTTGCCATGTACTGTAGTGGCTTAGAAGCTACACAGGTGCACATATACTAAAGGGAAAAGCTGCCTGAATTCCACCTTTGTCCAACCCATCTTACTCAAAATTGTTGAGTTTCCACTATCTCAGATCTTCAGTTCAATGATGGTTGAATGCCCTCAACTATGGAAGGAATAGTAGCAGTTAAGATGGCTACACAGGTATCACTGAAGATCTGCACAGAGTCCAAAGACTGTTTATCCCTGCCCAAGGATACCAAAGTATATTACTTTACATAGTTCTTTGCTATTTAACCTTTGATCTAGCTTTTATTTTAAAAAATGCTCTATGGATTCATATTCCAGCTACTACTGTCAGCTATTCAGCACAATCTTACCTGTTTAATTGCCATCTACATTTGTTGGGGTTTATTTACAGATAAGCAAGTTTTTAACATGCTTTTAATCACAATAAGTCAAAAGAATAAACCTACAAATTATATACTGTATTAGTCAAACCGGGGCAACCAACCTCAAGCATAAGGTCTGCATATAGACAAGAATGATTCACTAGGAAACAACATGCTCTTCTTTAACTGGATATTACTTAGCTGTCAGCTGTTCCATGTGTTATATTAGTATTTCAGCACACATCTCACATGTATTACAGATTCCTGATGTGCTAACTGCATGTTCAGATGAGAGGTGACAATTACATGCTTTTTATTTGCCTTACAAATTAGACAATAGATTTAAGTACACCATTCCTGTTTAGAAACCAATATATATAGAACAAAAGTTAATTTATACATACAAAGATTTCATTTAGAAATCTTGCCTGATCTTATATCTTCTAGGTAATATACAAGAAAATAATTAAGAATTACATTATCAAAACCATATCAAAAGTTGCTTAAAAGCTATCTCCCTGACTATATTATAAATGGAAATCAAAATTGTATTAAAAAGTCTATTTTTTTTTCTGCTTTCTCATTTCTCATCTTTACATGCTTTCTCATTTTATACAAGTTATCTGGAGATACATAAAAATATAGTATCAATTAGAAACAATTCAGAAATTAATTCCTAAAATAATTCTGCTTTAATTCTTGGAAATAAATACAACTGAAATTAATTATACTAAGTATCTCTCGTGTGTGTGTGTGTGTGTGTGTGTGTGTGTGTGTGTGTGTGTGTGAGAGAGAGGGAGAGGGAGAGGGAGAGAGATATGAATTTCACCATAGTTAGGTCTCTTCCTCATGGCTAAATTAAAGTGCACCAGCATAAAATATGCTGCCCTCATTGGCAATACCTATCTTGTCACAGGTACTATGGAGGAAAAGATACACAGGTATCTTTTAGAAATACCTGCACCCTTCCTTCCCCTTTTACCTTTAAGAGTCCTGCCTTCAAAATCAGATGGATGAGCCAATTGGATGAGCAGAAAGAAGAATGCTGAAGGAAGATGCACCACAAAGTGGCAGTCTCCAGAACAGTGTATCTGTTGAACAGTGAGGAATGTTGGTAGCAACAGAGAATTTCAGAAAATGTGAACTGAACCCTTGCCAAAAAGCCCCGAGCACTGGCAGCTGAGAGCAGGTCAAGACACTGGCATTTAGACAATAAGGCCAGGGCACTAGCCACCACCATATAGAGGCCCAGAGTGCTAGCAGCAGTCATTTGGAGGCCCAGGAACTGGTAACTGTAAAAGTCCAGAGCAGTAGCAACAAAAGAGCAGCTTCTCATACTGAAGCAGAAAGTTCTAAAAAGCCTGGAGCACAAGTCATCATCCTCAGAAAGCCTCAGAGTGGAAGGTGACAGAGAAACAGGGAAAGGAACAGCCCACTCCACTCAACACTCCATCCAGCATGAGACATCAAGACCAGACCAAACACTCAAATGACAAAGGGCTAGCTAGAACGGGCAGAACTAGTATTAGAATAAAGAATACAGACACAGCAAGAGTTACATAAAATAGAATATAAGACAGAGACTATAATAAAACATGTAGGAAATATTAAGCATGATCCTTAAGACAGAAAATAACTGCAGGATATAAGACATATGTTATAGTTTTAGGGCTAAAACAAACAAAATGGCTAAAAACTAGAATCTTAGATTGAAGATTGTTTTATGTGCTGTTCTGGAATAGCAGTAAACCAAAAGCAGCCTGATATCAATTCCTGAATCTGGGTCTTTTTATTACGTTACATAATATAACATAATCTTATATTATCTCACCGAATTGAGAATTGTCTCAATTCTCACCGCCAAGACTGTCACCAGGAATTGTCTCACCGCCAAGACTGTCACCATCTCCAAACCACAAAGGTACAACGTTAATAAATAGTGTTGTCCTTAATTACAATATATGAGGCATGTTAAGGACAGAAATTGGTGGATTCCCCTGGCTTTGTGTGCCTCTTCATTCACCAAAAATCACCAGTTGATAAGAAAACATCCAACATGGATATTAATCTTTTCTGGGGCTAGGGAAAGAGACAAGTTTTGATAGTTGACTACATCTATTTAAATACCAGTAAAATGTGGTAGAGTTGGTCAATGTGAAACGTTATCTTGTGGGATCCAGGAGATGTGACTTCCCCATAGCTGCACCTGCCCTGTGAAAGAGCATTCCTCCTGTAAAAACATGGCTCTTTTAGCAGGCCCTGGGGTAGTGTGGTGATCTGCTTCCTGATAGCATATCTTGGTTTTATGATATTGCTTAATTTTAGATGATTTCCCTGATGTGTTTTACATATATTATTGTCTGCTTGGTTCTTGCTTTATGATGTTTATTTTGCTGTTTTTAAACCCAAATGAGTAACCCACCTAGAGTTACTCTGTTGATCAAGGCAGCATACAAATGGATAAATAATTCAGTAATCAGTCAAGACTCACTCTGGTTTTCCATGGGTGTGCTCAAAGGAAGCCATAATATCAGCTGATATCAAGCTACTTTTGGTTTACTACTATTCCAGATCAGCACATAGAAGAAGCAGTTACACTTCAGTCTCTTTCCTTATGCACACCTCTTCAGAGGTAAACTCCTCCTCCCTCTACCAGTTGCACTGTGCATGGATAAATCAATGTGGAATTAGAAGAATCTTATAGGAGAGCAGAGTTGGGCTTGGGTAACACATGCCTGGGAATGATGTTCTTCATAGTCTTTTTCTCCCTTCTACAAATTGCAAGAGAGCTTTTTGCCTGAATACTCTTCTGCGTTACCAATTTTTGCTGTAGGAATTCTTGTTTCCCCCCACAAAGCAGGAATTTTTTTTTTAGATTTTTTTTATCCCCCCTTTATTATTTTTATAAATAACTCAAGGCGGCAAACATACCTAATACTCCTTCCTCCTCC